CTGGGATGGCAGCCGGCATCAGCCCGCGGGGGCACGCAGCTGAGGGCTGCGATTTTAAACGCCGCGGAGAGGGGTCCCTGCCCGGCTTGGGTGAGATAGCGGGGGCTGGCGTGCTGCCTCGCTGAACGCCTCTACGGTCCAGTGCAGAAAACGGGGCTCTTCCAGGTAAGGTGCACTACGGGCACTTCGTACGTGCTTCTGCAGCACCGGTGCAAGCACACCGCTGCTGTTCGCCTGATTGATTTCTACTAATTGCATTAGCGAGGCACCTACCTCTCCTTCCCGCGTGCGCGGCAGCGAGCCGCTGCGCGACTTTCCTCCTCCTGATGCGTCTCCTCCTCGGTTGCAAACACTCCACAAAACGGCCTTGGTGCCTCGGCCGCCCTCCCGGGCCGGGAAAGCGCCCGAGGGCAAGCTGAGGGTTTGCATGCTTCCCCCCACCCACCCCCCGAAAATTGTTTTAAGTGAGTCTGGAGTTACTCAGGTTCTAAAGCTGTGCTTCTCTGGCTTTGCTTTTAATTAAGTACTAATCATTGTCTCAGATTCAAGAACGTGAGTATACAAGCTTTTTCTCCTCTCTCTCTGGTGTCGGTGGGAGTGCTAGCCTGCTGGTTTAAAAAAACCAAACCTCACTCCACTCCAGTGAAGGCTTTTTTGAAAAGCTTTTTCTTTCTCCTCTTGAATAACGGCTTTGCTCTTCCTGTGCGTCACTCGGGACTGTTCAGTTCCCACTGAATTCTGACAAAACCAGAACTTTCCCATCAGACAGAGGGGAAAAAGATTGAGCTAGTCACGAAGTTTCAGTGGCATCTCGCTCAGTGTAGTCGGCAGTAACATGGCTGGGCACCGCTGACGGCTCTGCTCTCCCTCTGTTCCTCTAGCTCTCTGCGATAGCCTCTGTGCAGGTTTTGTCTGCTCTGGTGTTTGTTCTTTAACTAGTGATTTGCTTTCTCTTTTGGAACTTTTTTATTTATGATTCATACCTGATTGGGTATGAGCTGCTGATGTCCCCAGTATTGCTGTGTGACCTTCCTGCCAATTAAGTATGGTGCCTGGCTGTGATTAACCTAAATCCAAGCACCATTTTGTTGTACGCATCGGAGAGAGATCCAGCAATAGCCTTGGGTGCTAACTGGTTAGTCATGATTACCTTACTGATGACATTGACACATTCACACACACAATATCAGTAGCATACTGATTTTTAGCTGTCCTCAAAGTGCTTGTTTTATACAAGGGGAAATAATGTCAGTATTTTTATTATGAGTGCAAAAATATAAAAATCAAGACTTAATGAAGGACAAGCAAACTCTCCAAACTATTGACTGCGGTAATTTGCAAGAGAAACTTGAACTATAGCTTAAGCTGCATGCCAAGTTTGTCCAGTGATGTAATTTTTTTTTTTTAAATCTAATGGGAAGTTATGAACAAATTATTAAAATTAATGATGGAAATGCTGAGCTAACTTTTAAGCATTGAAAGTGCATTGCTACTCCATGCGGAATTATTCCAGAAAGTTATTTATTATGCAAGAGTTTCCATAATAATCTAGCAGATGAATTTGTGAAAACATTTGAGGAAAATCGTTTAGTGAACATGTATAATTATTACTAAAAATGCTGCCAACTTGATGTTGGGGCTGCAGTTTAAAGGCGTGTTAATGCCCGGTGATTCTTCCCTGTGCTGTGAGCTCTATATCCTGCTACACAGGCACTTCACTTACTCATCAGGGCACCTACAGGCTTTATAGTATTTTTACTTCTCTGTATTAGTCTTAGTGTTGCCTTGCACTGGGAATGAACTACAGGCTTCCAGCTGAAAGCGTTGGTGTTTTCTGCATACGCTAAAGCAGTAGGAGGTGCCACTCGGGTCTGTGTTGTCAGAGCAGAGGATCTGCAAGTTGGCACTGGCATTTGCTACGGGATTTTTCCAAAGCTGGTTTTGCAGTTGGTTGCTTAATGAATAGAATATCGGGTAGGGGTTGCCTAATTAATCTACAACTTGGTACCTTTTATGTTAAGGGAGGTAATAATACTAGATCTTTTGAGAAAGTCTGCGGGGTTTGGAGCTGCTGCGGAGCAGTGGCAAGCTCTGGCCCTGCACGTAACTCCTGTAGCTCTGGCAGTCATTCAGCTCCAATGCCGGTGACCTTAGTTACGGTCTTGCGCAGAAATCTGTGCACGTATCCAGTTGGCTGCACGCTTTGCAAATCCTTGGGCTTGGGGACTTACGGGTGTGTGAGTTATGGACCTACTGCAACAACTTGCTCTTTAAATTTGTAAAGAGCAAGTCACTGTAGCTACATAGCGATGCCGTATTTTCATGTTACTTTTCTATAATGGTTGTTTTGGAGTTTCCACCCACAAATAAATGTCTCCAGCCACTCATGCAGGGGTGGATGGTTTTGGGTGTTCTTTTTGAGCAAGGCTCACTGTCTTTTGTTTTGTGCCGCATCTTTATGTTCTTGTGGTATTGTAATGGGGAATTTCTGCAAATAGGTTCAATCTTTCCACTTCCTGGAAGAGACTGATTCTTACAGGTGACATAAGCCAATGGTTTTATATGAATGTAAGTGATTGTCAGGGTTTACTTTGATACTAGAAGACACAGATTAACTGCAGTCTGCAAACAAGGTTTTTCACTCATGTGCAACGATGAAAGGTATGGTGGTGTGGTGGTGCTGTCTGAGGAGCCAGCAAGCTCTCAGGGAGGGGGAAGAAGTTATTAGTAATGAGGGGAATGACTGTGGCTGGTGGTGAGTATCCCTCCTGAGTATAAAGACGACTTTGGATGACTTGAGAAATAATTAGAAGATGGGGCTTGATTTACTAGAAAATGGGAGGAAAATGAGGAGTCTGTTCATCTGTAAAGTTACTTTTTGTGTGTATTTGTTTTCATCCTTGGTGCTGACTTTGGCGGCTATGTCTGTCTTGTTCTGATATCAAATATGTAACCTACTTCATATTTGGAAACTAGTGAACACTAGATTATAGTCACCTGAGATGCATGCATGCATTAAAGTTGAACACTACTAAAGTTACAAGTGATGGGAAATGACTTATTCAAGGGACTTCTGTGATGAATGCATTGCTTAAGCTCTTGTTGTACATGAGTGATGTCAAGATGGATTAAATGGCAAGACACTTTGAAATCGACTTTGTTTGAAAGACGTTTAGAAACTTACTGTTTTGGTTCTTCAGAACTGAATGTGCCCCAGAAACTGTCTCTGGAAATGGAGGAGCAGAAGACTTGCTTTGATATTCATGCTCTGAAATGGTTGCTGTCTTGCTGCTATCCTTAATAAAAAAATAGCTGCAGTGACAGTAAGACTTTTCCCAGGTCTTTTTTTGTTGTTGTCTGTGTTGTTTTGTTTTGCAGCTCTACAGCTTGTGTCCCTCAAAGGCAGCTTCTTTCAGCCAAACCAGGGAAAGATCAGTCAGTGATTATCCCAATTAAAAACAATTAAAATGCAGAAACATGAAGTCGATAGAGCTGCAGTCTTCTCTTATGCTAACATCTCCTCCTTTGATTTAGTGAAGCTATTTAGAGTCATAGCCCTAACTTCTCAATGTAGATTTGAATATCCACATTTTATAGTATGTGGTGCAGGAGAATGCATTAGAGGGAAAAAATTAAATAATCGTCAGATTCATGATGATTCTTGATTCATGAATGAACAGATCCATTTTCTCCTAATATAGGAAAGAATTAGGTAAAGGCTTCAGGTTTGCATAAACTGAGAAGTATTTTCCTGTTTCAGTGCTTGAAAGGCCACATTGTTCTTGTGTCCATTGATACAGATGAGAAAGATCAAAGTTGATGGTCTTTAAAATGCAAGTGTATCCAGGAGGGTACTGTTTGGATAACAAAAATGGGAGGGGAAAGCTTTGACTGCAGTCAACTTAAATTTACTATACATAGGTTGGTGGTCCTTTTAATGTTCTAAAACAAAGAAAAGAGGAGCTAATACAGAATGAAGGGAAGTGGCAGTAGTTCAAAGGGGGGGGGCTGGTGAAATAATGCAGATAGTTGGTCTTTTTTTGTGTCAAGCCAAAATATGCATGTTGAAATCTGGTCTGAGAAAAGATCAATTAAAATACAGCTCCTAAGGTGTATAGCACTGGCTTTATTTGAAAGAGCAGTTAGTTTTATGCTCTTAAAGTTTCACTTTTTAAAATGTAATAAAGTATAATATTATTCCTTAAAATCAATGATGCTTTCATTTTTGCATAGCTGATGTGGGATTTTTTTTCCCAAACTATAACTTTTAAATGTTTTTCTCTTGAAAAATAGATCTGTTTATCAATGTAAAGAATAATTAACTAGCAAACTTGCTTCATTTCCAGCTGAGTGAAACAGCAGTCAGAGTTACTGAAGCTGCGCTCAGCCCTGAACAATCATGTCTGCAGCCTACTTGTGGTCTCCTGGAGACCCTTACCTAGTGAGAATGGACAGTAGTTGAAACCAGGAGATGCATTTTAGTGTTTCGTTAATCCTGATTGTACACAGGACAAACTCAGTCTGTGTTTGCAGTGTTTGACTGAATCATGAAGCATTTAAAATACGTACTGCAGAGCTACCAATATGGTGAGTTCCCAGAAAATGAGACAAGCAACATGAGGTGTAAAAGACTTTTGAGCAAGTGCTTCAGATAATAGGAAGAGAAAACCAGAGATGACCAGACTTGTCTGGGAGGTTCTTATTGATCAGTCAGTTATTGGGTACTGGAAAATAAAAGAATAAATCTCAGTGTTTTTCCATGAGAGAGTTACACTTCTAACTTGCACTCCAGTGCACCGAACTCGGGCAGATATTTCTTCTAACTGGTTTGCTCTGAGGTACTCTCACAGCAATAGGTTAGACTGTTTTTTTTTTTCTTTAAATATTGGAAATAAGCAAGTTTTTGTCAGAGAGACTAATTCCAGACAGTCAGGCTGACATTTATGGTTATGAAGAGCATGCTTTTGAAATTTAACAGTTGGCTGAATTGTCATTTTTTTTCCTGAGCTGTTATCTGCTTTATTTCTTGTGTCTGGAAGTCTTGTTGCTGAACCCAGACACTGGGGGCGGGGGGGGGGGGGAAAAACCCTCAAAAAAACAACCAACCAACCAAACCCCCCCTAAAAAACAACCAACCCCAAAAAACCAGTGTCTCAACATCAGATCACTTGCTGTGCAATGCTAATATGACTTTAGATGTATATGTATACAGGTGGATGAAGCAACAATGCAAAGATACAGTGGAACTTGTTTTCATTTAAAGGCTCATTCCTTCTGGTGCACTGCTGTGATGGGCAGAGGGCAGGCATGAGGGTCTCTGTAATACAGTGCATGTTATTTACATTTCTGACCTGCAGTTTGATGGGGAAACACATACTATGATGGCAAGAATTTAGTAAGTGTGAGCATGAAGGAGCTCACAAAATCTTTGTGCAAGTGAAATCTGACTTACAAGATGGTGCCACCAACCTCCCTGTCATCCCCGGCGTCTGCATGCTGTTTAATACGTTGCAATGCCAACAGCTAAGGATGGAGCAAGACTCCTATGCTGCACCTCTGTACCCAGGTGTGTGTCTGGTGGTAACAGGTGTGTCTCTGCTTTTCTGATTGTAGCTTATTTGCAGCAAAAGCCTGGAATGATTAAACTGGACCAGCTGTTACAAATTAGTTCCTCCATACTGTGTTTAAATGAACAAAACTAAATGAAGAATTTTTTTACCATAGTAAATCACTTGTGTAGCGCAGTGCTAGGGAAGCTGTGGAGTCGAGACCTGTTCTGCTTCAGTGAGGTCTGGTGGACACAGTCTAAGAAGCACCAGAGGCATTGGGTATGGGCAGGTTTCGTATCTATTACTATAGATCTATTCCTATATGCTGTTTCTTTGGTTTTGACATGTACAGTTGAGGAAGGACACTCTTGTACATTCAATTATAATGGAGAAGTGAGAAATCTTGACTTTTACTGTCGTTTTAAAACAGTAGTTTGAGCTTCATTGAAAATTTATGGTTAAATCTAGCTTACTTTGCCATTTACATTATAATCCAAGCAGTAGTGGGCCACCCTGCATTAATTGTCTTAAAAAATACTCTTCTCCGTATTCCTGTTTCTTGTGTATTGACTCATTTTAAAAAATACCATACTGTTCCTCTAGCTCTGCTGAAATCGCAGCGCCAAGTTTGTCATTTGAGGAGTGTGTTTCAGTTCAGTAGGCCTTGACAATTCTGAAGAGTATTATAGCTCAACATATTTAAGTCTCTTATGAAATTTAAAATATAATAAATTACAGCTGTTTGTAGCTGTAAACCTCTCTTTGGAATAAATTGGTGGGGAAAATCAACTGGTTTTCTACAATCTGACTTAATGTAAAGCATGGCCAGTGTCCCTTTTACTTGTACTGAGGTCAGGACAATCATTTTCAGCGTATTGCACTACTTGACTACATAAGGAGCAATCCTGTCTAATCCAATCCAGAGCAGGTCAGTAAATGATAAATTTTGTTTAGCTTGCAAGCATACTGATTTTCACAGTTCATTTACAGAAGAATCCTGCATCTCTGCATTTGAAGACGCTCCATTTGTTGAATTTGGTGTCTCTTAGCATTCCCAGTAAAATATGCAAGATGAAAAATACTATTTTAATGGCATATTATTGTGGAGATATTTTTACATAGAGAAACTAGGAAATTGGACTCATGGTTGATGCAGAAACCATCATTTGCTCTTACTGAAAAGAATCAAATGTTTTGATTTCATCCTGGCTTCTTAAGGCTTATTGTAGTCACCTGGATGAGTGTTTGTCCTGCTGGTCGAGGAAAGTCTGTTTCTAAAACCATGAAAACAGTCTTTCTTTGCTACCACCCAACCACTTACTGGTGCCCTCACTGAGAGGGGTGCAAGCATCAGGGTGAGCTTGATGCTTATTAGATGCTGGAGCAGGTAGTAACCCTTGGTGGTCCTGATCCTGTAGGTGCAGGGTAGTAACACTTGCCTGCATGGTGGGACTGTGCATTGGTAGAACATAAATATGCAGAATTACATGCAGATTTTATGACTCATGACTAAAAAATGTCAGCATTTACTGTGATGACTCTTTATTTAAATGGCAACTTTTTTGGTGCTTGCTGCTGCAAGTGTAGTGCAGGTCATTGTATGTGCAAAGTTGAGGTTATGAGTGGGAGGAAAGCTCTCTTCAGCATCCTGGGTTATTTAACATCTCAGCCAAGCGTGTTGATGTAGGTTGTAAGTGACAATAAAAAGAAAAGGCTGTATATGCATGTATGTTCTACTAGGGTAATTTATAAAGCAGAGCATAGGTTGATAACACTTCTGCTAGGTCACTGCTTCACCACCAGTACCTCTTTCCCACTTAAGTGTGTTATGCTCTGGGAACATGCTGCTAGACAATTAAATAATAACAGTAAAATGTTTGTAGCACTTGGTTTTTTAAAAACAAATCCTCTAAAGAAACCTAGCACAGTGATCAAGAGGTATTAGCATATACGCTATCACATATCTGCATACACTTTTGAGTCTTTCCTTTCCCTTATCAAGATTAGTAGAAGACCCTTTACATTCTTACCTTTAGCATTTCAAATCTGAGCATCCAAATGCTATGGAAAATAATGTTGAACACTAACTCAGTCTTTCAAAAGTGTTAAGGAAAAAATACATTTCTCTTTCAGGTTATTCTGTTGAGTTTTCTGTCTGCAGTTAAATATTTTTGTTGCAGGAAATTATATTGTTCATTGCAATAAGACAGACCAGAGGGTGTGTTTTAATAATTCTAAATAATTGCTGCAATCGATATACAATTTTAAAACAGCAGGATTTATAAATGTAATGGTATGAGTAGTGTAGTATAATGATTATATAGGTAATTATTGCATATTATTGAAATACTGGAGGTTTGAAGCTGTGACTTCTCCCCACCCCCCCCCCCACCCCGCCTCCTCCCCC